TTTTCCCTGGATTTGAGAATGACAGCAACCTTTGGGCCTTTTTCTGACAGTAGATAAAATACTGACTATTCCATTTTCTACACAGGGTCAACATTATGAAGAGGAAAAACGGGCTTTGAGCCATGAAATAATTGCACTCAATAATCACTTAATAGAGGCCAAGGTGACAATAGATAAGTTGTCAGAAGACAATGTAAGTATTTAATTATGGATACATCTTAAAATTATATTCAGAAATAAATTAGGCTGTGTATTTTCCATTAAATTATAGAATAATTTCTTATTGTTTTCCTAAAATGTTACTTGTCACCTCAACAGTTAAAATTCATGTTTGCTTGTTCCCATCATTTTGTAAATTCAGCTCTCCTTATGCTTTGGGTTTGGGGTGAGACTTTTCATTGATTTTTTTTTTTTCCTTATGTCTAACCTAAAACTGATGAAAAAAAATATTGTAAGAAATGGCAGTATTCCCACATGGATTTTGCCATCGGTTTTGGTCTAGTACAGCAACCTAGTGCAAGCACATACTTAAAGGTATTTCATGGGCACACATATGGAGCGAGAATTCATCACAAGGATTTTAGGCATAGCGCAGAACCTCACATTTCCTGCAGTTCCTCTGATCTTTCAGCCTTTGCTCACTGAAATGGGGTGCCTAACACAAGTGAGCTCCACCAGCAGTAGGATTGACCCAACCTGGTCATTCAGATTATTGCAGGGTGTAGGAGCCAGGTTTTCCCCAGTCATGGTTCATGTGTAACCATTTACAGATCTCTGTGTGGAACAAAACAGGGAACACTGCTGAAAACTGGCATGTGTGCTGCAGCTGGGAACCAAGTTCATGAAATCCTTCCAGGGACAAACCTAAAAAGACAGAAAAGAAAGGAAGATCACGGGCATTTAGTTCATTCTTGTGCCATTCCTTAGGCCCTTTATAAAAAAATCCATCTACAGAAGACATGTTTCTGTTAGCGCTTATTTTTCAGCATCTTGCATTCAATCTTCCCATATTTCATATGAACTCTTAATCATAGCAGGGAGCATTTGATCCCATTAATATGCCTGTTGATGTGAATTGTGCCTATGTGATTAATAGCTTTCCAGCAGAAACAAAGAGTTCACAATCTGACCCTTTACTTTTATAGAAATAGTGTTGAAGCAACAGTTAGTTTGTAACTCTAATAGCTGTAACTAACAGGACGTGACAAATGTAATGGGCTACATTTAGGTTTTGAAAGCACTGGTATGCCTCCAGACTAGTTCAGCTGAACTCACCGGCATTAGTTCAGATTTAAAATAGAAAGAGGAAAGAATTGTAAGTCTCTCCCAATAAGTACGCAAGCATTTACACTACTTCATGGAGTTAGGTTTGAGCCCACATTTGAAGAATTGTTTTCAATATTCACATTTTTTAAAAGGCAGCTTAAACTGGACTGCAATTCAGAGTACTGCTCTTCCAAGAATTATTCTGAACTGCTCTGAACACTGGAGTATGGTCCAGAAGCCTCCAATAACAGTACCACTTCTTCATACTTCAGGTCACTTCTGCCCTTATTTATGTAGCATCACTAATGAAAATAAAGGCTAAATTCCAAATTTAAAAAGAAAAAGTTATTTTAAAAGGCCATTCATACCGTACCTAGTAAGTAGAGTGTTAAACTGAAGAATCCTACATGGGGAGAACATGTTTTTGCCTTGCCCATATTTCTTCCTTTCATTATATTTTCCCTTATTCTTCTGACAGATATGTAAATTGGTGCTTTTGATGCACAACCATGGTTTGCACTATGGGAAACACTTTTGGCATTAATTGTTGATTATCGTTCTAGTTGTCAGAGATGTGGGTAGTTCCCATCAGACAAACATTAATGGACAGAAAGTCACTCCAGTCGCATGGCATGTCCCGGCGTGTCAGAACAAAATACACGTGGGCACATTTAACTCACATGTCATTTTTTGGTAGTAATTTTTAAATCTGCTAAAAATAAAGTGTCAGAAATGCTTTTTGTACTCTCCATGACAACCGCTCCGCAGAAGCAGTGGCACACAGCTTTTGAAGAAAGGATTAGATTTTGGAGTGATTTCATTTTTGAGTGCCTAGTAATGACATATGGGACTTGGAGTACTTGTCTGTACTATACACTGTGTAGCAATATATTATGTATTTAATATGCATGTAACATGTCAGAATCACATGCACATGCATCAGATTTTGCTTCTGAATTGAATTACTGGATTCCTGCTACAGGAATAAAAATAGTGCGTGCTAATATAAAATGTATGACCTACATAAATGAATGTATCTCCCCAGTACAGTTAAGGCAGAAGTAGCATGTATAAAAGCTCACACAGACACACAAAAAAACCACCATAAAACAGGAGTATCTAAAGGCTCTTGAATATGAAGATACAATGAGCTACTGATACATAGGAAAACTAGCCCCATGCCTCACAGGCTCCCAGGAAAAAGTTGTTAGACCTGTTATTACAGAATACCTTTAAAACAATATTTCCAAACAGAAAGAATTTCTACCTTTCCATTTCATAGAAAATTTCTTTATCAGTTTTTAAAACAAGTTGAACAGTAAAAATCTGCATGCAATAAAATGATAATATTAACGCCAGAGAAAACTGAAATCATTTCAGTGTTCAAGACCTTATCTCAATAAACATTTTAAATTAACACAGCCTAGTGTCCATAGTACCTTTATGCTCTGTCTGTGCCCACCTATAAAGTCAACCTCTGAAGCCAACATTCGTTTTAATGGCACCTAGATCAGGAAAAGCAACATAAAATCTTACCTCTGGGGACCCAAAGTTGAAGGATACAGTTACACAGTCACGTGTGCTAAATTAAATTTAGATGAAGGGCAAATCTATGTACTGAATTTTCCTATTAAATAGGCTGTGGGAGCCATTCAATACAAAAATAGTATGAGCAGCTTGTTTAAATCCTCTCATTCCCTGTGTGGAATTCTCATGGTGACTTTTTACCCAGTAAAATATCCCGCTCTGCAGTACCAAATATTTGCAGTGAGATTTAATATATTTTTATATCTGCATTCCACAAGGTGCAAAAGAAGCCAGAAACCAGCAAGAAAGTTTCATAAGGAGACAAAGGCTGCCCTTTTAAAAAACAATGCACCATATATTTCCGCAATGAATTTCTCCCACAGTCTCATAAGATTATTTAAGCATTTTCTAACATAGTGCTGATCTGAATAACACTCAGCAAAAATTGTCTGTTCTTAAATTTTCTTTCTGCTTAAAAGATCATGTTTATTTTAGCCTTCATAGCGCCATGCATGTTAACAGTATAAAGTCCAGTTCCTAACGGTAAGTATCCATCTTTTGAAATGCAGATTACTCTTCTGTAGTAACGGTTCTCAAAATTCTCTTGTTAGTGATTTTATCAGCCCTCATGGAGCAAAGAGGCAAACATCTCAGGACCGTGCAAGAAGCACAGAATCTTAATTAGTGTATTTGGATGTTAAATTTCCCCGAAGTCAATTCTTAAAAGACTGCTGAGGCATGACAGAAAGGCTGAAAACCACAAGCTATATGCAAACTTTAAAAAACAGGCTATTTTTTGTTTTTCTAGGAGCTCTATAGGAAGGACTGCAATTTAGCTGCTCAGTTGCTCCAGTGCAGCAAGAATTACGACAGGGCACATAAGCTTTCAGAGGTAATGTGACCGAACTTGGTGAATATTCACAGAAATAAATATTTTATGGAAAACACGTTATTTTACATGTATCGATTTCAGAACTTGTTTGCCCTTAAGGCTTTGATACCCCCCTCCTCCTTAAGCAACAGGAGGGCTTGTGCACCCGCTGGTACTCTGTGCAGCTGAGGGAGGTGCTGACGAAATCCCAGCTAGTGATGGAACCTGGAGGTACTCTCTTCCCCCAAACCTCTGCTATCCGGTAGAATGGGCCTGTGCTGATCACATGAAAAAAGGGTTCTAGCAAAACCAAAGTGCTGAGAACTCTAGACTGCAAAACGCTGGCGGGGGGGTATGGATGGGAAGGGAAGTGACAAGCTGCAAGCATCAGAGATTCTGATACAATCAATTTTCCTCCTGAAGCTATTTTCCAGTCCAGCTAATTTCTAAACCTGAATTTTAAAATGGACTGACAGAACAAATATCTTTTCCTAAAGCAACCAGAGCACCGAATGATTGATTTCCAGGGTGTAAACCTTAATTAATAATCCTCGCTTCCAAGGAAACTAGGCTTGAGAAGCAGACTCCTTAGAGGGGAGGCAAATATCATCTTAGTGAACGGGACTGTCTTCAGGGATGCAGGCCCACACAGAGCAATTGCACCATCCTCATGTTTATTGCTTCGGTGAAGGTCGTGGAGAAAAGCCTCCCTTCATCAGTCCCATCCGGTTAACATGCCCCCAAATGACCTCTCTTGTGCAATTCTGCAACAGAATAATGCAAAATTCAATGTGGAATGTAGAAACTGTTTCTAAGCCAGTAGACTGCTTCAGAGCACTAAGCAAACCTGGCAACTAGGGACAGAGCAGGCCTCTTCCGTCAAATGGGCAATGATTTTCTGGAACTGAGGCAGAACTACCAAATTAAGCATTATCCTGGTGCTATTATTTTTTTCCTAGTAACAGAATTCCCTTAGTAATTCATATCCAGGAGTTATCATTACATTACTCACACTTGAAAACACCCTACCTGATGGCAAGAATTAGGACCTTAAAAGTACTTAATGGCCCAGTTGCAGAAAAACACCAGAAATGTGGGATCTCCCCACAATTTCCCAGTCTCTCATACAGTCAATTAAATAGGCAAAGTCTCCACTCATTAGCCTAAGTATATAATAATTTAGCAAGTGTGAATGTGCTGCCAATAAATTCCTTATAAATGCAAATATTGCCTGACAAAGTATTGTATATTATCCAGAAGTCTAAGCTAGACTACACTATAGTAATTTGACAGCAATATCATTTCAGTAATTCCAGTTTCCTGTGCAATGCCCAGAAAATAATGTTCTTCATCTTAACACATTTCATAATCTAAATAATGTATATTAAATAGACTGAACAGTGGGGTTACAGGATACTAAAATAATAGCTGCCCCATACAGCAGTTTCACGTTAAATTAACTGTATTTCTTTCCCTTATTTCTGTGGCATTTTACAGCAGTCTTATTTCACAACCTGTTTATTCAATCTTTGTTGCATCTGCACTTAGTATGACTAATATTGCTGTCTGCCAGCAGACTGGCAATATCATACTCTTTATTTCCAATGGAAGACATACAAGTTAATTAACAACATAATGATTAATCCAAAATATCCTGGAAGATCTGTTGGTTGAAAAAACTCTCATCCTACTCCACGTTAACAAGAACGCCATTTCACGACATGCCATATTTTGAATACATTGAGTCTGGGGGATTAAACCAACTTTAAAAACTTCCCAGAGAAGCTAAAAGAGGAGCTCCATATCTGATACAATGTGAGATCATTACAAGGAGCACACACCTTAAATTTCTCTTGCTTAAAATATGGGAGGGGTGGGGGAGGGGGAAGGGGGTTGGGTGGAAGCCCTTCAATATTTGTAGGGTTCTGTCCTCCAGAAAAAAAAGTTAAGGAGGGAATGCAATCATTAGGGCTATAAGGGTAACCACTGATTATGTGGTAAAGAGGAACTTGATTTCTGGTTACCAAAAGGAAGTTCTGATTAAATCACAGTTAAGTCAAGCATTCAGGGGCTGAATTCTAAGGTGGTATCAATTTTTCAGTAAGAAATACTGAGACAACCATCATGCAGCACCCTCACATATCCCTGTCCGATCATTGATAGAGATCTGAAATGAGCAACGCAGATAAAAGCCGACTGGTGAGGATTCTCAGTGATACCTGCGTAGGTGTTACCTCCCAGACCTAGGAGCCGCACCAAGGAATGAAGGCACTCAGCCTCTGCTGGCCCACAGGACAGAATGTCAGGTGGAACCGCCATCCACAGAGCTGATCCTGATTTCTCCAAAAACTATATGACCTATGATGCATAACACACACAGTGATTAATTCTGACTAGTCTGTCACAGGAATTACAACATAAAATCAGGTCTTAGCTCTTATTTCTGCCAGTGTAGTAAGAAACTAGAAAAGCAGTCAGGTGATGGCTGCTGGGAGAGGGCAGCATATTGGGGCTTATATGGATGGTCGATCCAACAAGCAGCATCCGAGTGCTGTGGCCGAGTAGCCGTCTCAATGTGCTGCTTCCCAGCACAGGCGCACTCCTGTCGTATCAGCCAGTGCCACTGCCTGAAGCGCCCGCGAGACCAGCTTTCCTGCCTCTTCAGACAGCGCTGTTTGTCAGAGGCGGTGCTGAAGGGCAGAAGCCAATTTGGCAGCAGGTTGGAGGTGAGACAAGCTTGAAGAAAGGCAAAAGGAGAACAGGATAGATCTGACCTCCTCCTCCTCTTCCCTCACCCCAGCAGAGATCACCGCAGCCCTCCCCTCCAACTGCAAACCACGCCCATGCACCCAGTCTGGAAAGCATTGCTGTAGGCTGTAATTCCCTACCCGCCTTTTAAAACTCATTATTTACTACACTCTTTACATCATTCCTATCCAACCTGAATTAACTTGGAAGGAAACATTTCTGTTTCACAGTGTTTTCCATGAGGGGATGCAGAATAAGATTTCCAAATGTGAGATGAAAGTCACTTGATGTGTTTGTTTTCAGAAATGCACAAAGACTGTGGCCATCACATTAGTTAAAAAACCATACAGTGCAGTGTCATAAACGGCACTCATCTATCAGTGTTGTATAAGCCCAAGCAGACACCAGTACTGACGTGCATCCCTTTCTCCTGTCCCCTTTGCCACCTCTTTATGTTACAGCTGCCATCTGACTTTCAGGAAAGAGTCAGCATCCATCTGGAAAAACACGGGTGCAGCCTTTCTGTCCCCTTGTGCCACACGTCTTACGCTGATACCATACCCACTTGTGTCATTGCCAAAGTCCTGGAGAAACCAGATCCAAACAGCTTGTCTTCACACTTGTCAAGCCCATCTACAAGGGAACTCAATTTTCAGGACTCTTCTGGAAAACTTGGACAAAGGCCTCAGTACAAGTCGGACATCTACTGCAGTGACACCGCCCTTTACTGCCCCGAGGAGAGGAGGCGGGAGAGGAGGCAGAGTGTGGACACGCAAGTGAAAGACGTGGGGTTCCTGCGGTCCCAGAACTCCACGGACAGCACCGTTGAAGAAGACGGTTTTCATTCCAGCTTCTCCCACGAAGCCTTCCCAGAGTACATTACCTCTCTGCCAACCTCCAGCTCCTACTCCAGCTTCAGCGTCACATCCGAGGAGAAGGAGAACGCCCAAGCCAACACTCTGACAGCCTCTCAGCAGGCGATCTACATGAGCAACCGAGACGAACTCTTTGAGAGAAAGTCACCTGCAGGTTATGAGCATCAGGGAAGTCCCAGGTTTGCCAAGTCCAAACCAGCGCAGCACATGGAGCTTGCCGACGACAACGAGAACTCGCCCACTTTTACCAGGACTCTGCCTCCTTATGCAAACGAACCTTTTCATTTCTCAGCCATAACACCACAGCAGGCTTTAGCGAATCAAAAAATGAGGAACGAGTGCAGGAGCACCCCCCTTTCAGAAGAAGACTTGCCTGGGCGATGGAGGCAGCTGAGCGTGGAGGACATTGGTGCATACTCTTACAGGAACACGGGCAGGCTGTCGCCCTGTAGTTTTTCGGAGCAGTACTACAGCAGCCCTGTCAAGAAGGGAGACAGCCGAACAAGCCCCATCTACGCTAGTTACAAAGCGGACAGCTGCTCAGAGGGAGACGATATCTGCCAAAGCAGACTTGTGGATTCTTGCTTCCTGAGAACAGACAGTGGCCTGAATATTGACATCAGCACTAGCTGTAAACAGGACAAATTGTCCACTTACAAAGCTAAAGAATCTAGAGACCAAAAAAATGAAAGGATCACCGTCCAGTTATGCAGTAGCAAAAACATCGAAAACAGCCCGGTGTTGAAAAGAGAATACGTGGACGTCAGCCCCAACAGCTCAGCAGAGTCCCTCAATCAGAGTTCAGTGGAGGCTTCGGAGATCCACCAGTCTTCCATGGAGCAAGGAAGCCATTCGGGTATTCACAGCAAACAGCAGCAGTTTCAACGAACTGGGAGTACTGGTTTGAGTCGGAAGGACAGCCTTACAAAAGCACAATTATACGGAACCCTTCTGAACTAGGCATCTTCCAAAACGGCAATAAGACGACAAACAAAAGGAAGCAAGCAGTATTTGATACTTCTAGTGAACAGTATGGTTCTATGAAACAGGATTATTATAAAATATATATTCATAATGGTACTATATGTTTAAAACAAATTATCTTCAAAAATGTTATACAGCACTTTTCACTTAACATCCTTTCCACGTGGGAGACAGTCCCCTCCCCTCTTTTATAAACCTGAAATATTTTTCTAAACAAAATGGTATTTATTAGACTATCCTAAGCTATTTGAGCAGAATTCTTTTCCCTTCAAGCAGGTTTCTTATTTATTTTTTGTGCATGAGGCCATCTGTGCCTAAACTCTTGGAGGAAAAGGGTAAAATCATGACGGCGGCGATCAAAAATAAATCCACCTGATAAAATACCATCAAATGTCATGTGAAAACAAAACAAAAAAGAATGGTGAATTTGAAGAAGTATATTTTTTAACAAGAATGGAATTGTATCTTAAGTTATTTCATACAAATGTATTTATGAGTGACTAATGTATGCACAAAGTGATACTAATATTTTGTTCTTTTAATCCACTGTGTTTCTGCTTTCCTATTTTTCCTTGTATACTACCTCAAAAGTAATTGAGGGTTTCTTTGTCACATTTTCCGTAGGCTTGCATTTATATTGTCTAAAATGCATGCAGTGTCATAATTAGTACTGTATTTTGCATTACTTAATAAAAGACACCAGTGGAGATATTTTGGGGTTGGGTTTTTTTTTTTCCTTCATTAAAACATACCCTGGACAGCAGAACACAGGATTTCTCTGGGTGGCATCAGTCCAGCAAAAGTTAAGGAGTAAAGCTACTGGCTTAAATTGGTCTCTAAAGGAGTCTCTCTGTAAGCTGCAGAGAGCTGGTTCTCAGTCTGCAGCCCTTGGGTGTGGAAGGACAGCTTCTCATTATTCTGTGAAAAGTAAACAAGGAAAAGTTTATCAGAGGACTTGGTTTCACAAGGCAGGGCTCTGGACACTGAAAATTGAAAACTACTTGAAAACTTATGATGTAAGCTCCCCCTCCATTACACACATACCTGACACAATCTTTCAGGTCTTTTGGACTATTACCTTCCACAGTTGCGCTTTTTTCATGTGTAGCTTGGTATTTCTAACAAATAGATTTTTCTAAAGCTTAAGGAACATCTGGCCTTCTGTATCCTATGGGAATTTTACCCCTGGCTCTGAGAAGCCACAGTTTTCCCTGTAGTTTTTGCATTTCCTCCACAGAGTTTTCTGTTTCTCACCGTTTCACCACTAAGGAGTTGGACTTTACGGTTGGACTGGATGATCTCTAAGGTCTTTTCCAAACTAGTGATTCTATGATTCTATGATTCTATGATAAGGAGTGTGCAAC